TCAGCCTCTACGTCCTTCCGCTCAGCCACAGCTCGCGCGAGGGCCAACTCAGCGGCTCTGATCCGTTGCTCTGGCTCATCTGCTAAAGAGAGCAATATGCGTAAAGTAGATTAACGCCTGTTTGAAATTGACTGGGCACCGACAAAAATAAGAATAACGGTGCGTGTATAAAGACACACGATTAGCGCACATATAAAACAGCAACGAAATGGAGTAAAGGGGGCTTTTAAAATCGTACTCTCTAACCTTAAATCTTACACTTGACGTTTAGACCAAACTCATCGATGCCGTCATGCGTCTTGAGCTGGAAGAAGCAGAAGTTTGCCATCTGAAGGAGGTCATATTGAGAATAAATATTGACCTAGACAGCAGAGATACCCCAGTTGTCATGGCTCACGAAGCCAAGGTAGCTGCAGAGACTGCTCTGCAGCAACTCACCGACGATCTGGCAACTCTTGGGGCTCGTCTTCAATTCGACGTCTCCAGCGCTTGCCCTCTCACGCCCGAAGCCACCAGCCTTGCCGAGAATGTCGCAAGTATCCTCATGGAGAGGGAAGAGAAAGTCCGATCGGCATGGGATCGCATGGGCAAGATGTCTGCTAAAATGGCAGCCATCAATGACATTGAGCGACTTGAAAAGAGGGTGCAGACCACAACTCGTGCAAGGGCCAATTTAGCAGCTCTGATCCATTGCTATGGCTTATTAAATCGATGTTAAAGAGAACGAAATGCGTAAAGTAGCTCAACTCCTGTTTGACATTGACTAAGCACTGACAAAATTAAAATAATGTTGCTTGTATTAAGTCAGACGATCAGTGCATATGATTGCGAAATTCTCCTGCATTATGAAACATGCTGTTATAAAAACCATGAAGACCGAATACAAACATTTACTCTCTACTGCAATCCCCGGGGTGAACCCTTCCAGCTAGAGTCAATTTTGGTCGGGACGTCGTAGCTACCAAGCAAATAATCAAGACACCTGGTGAGAACAAGTAAATTGAGGCATGATCCTACGCATCTTAACGATACCAGAGTACATTAGTTACTAAATCAACTACAAGGTATGCAATGTCCGTGTCGTGAAGTTCAGACTAATATTTTTTTCCAAGAGTGTTCGTTGTATTTGTGCCCTAGGCAGATTGATTTCTAGCAAAAATAGTTAAAATACTAAAGACGTGTTGTCAGGTAGTTTCTCAAAGAAAATGCTTCTCTAAATAAACAAGAGAAGACGAGCACTATTAACAATGTAGTTTGCAATTCAGTCACAGGATCAGTACGATGTCATTTTTTTAAGTTTTTTTTTAACTATTAAATCAGTGAATCAGGAAAGATCAATATGTCCGCAAAGCATATCATGTACGTCGAATGATCAAGAATTAAATTAACTATTTTTACGTTAAAGTAAAAATTAATGGTTAATTAATAATGTATAATAAGAGGTATGAAATAATGTTCAAGTATGAAGTAACCAAAAGAAAAATATTGATTAAGAAAGGACCATACGGGTACACATCACATCATGGCCAAGCAACAATGACACATTGCTACTACTAATTGATACTTCACAAAAGAAGCAGAATAATACCACGTTAGAATGCCAGAACAATTTTTTTCCTCAATGGGTATGAAAGTATGAGAAAGAAACGGATGAAAAAATTATGGGCCGCTAAAAGGACATATAATAAAAAAAATTGATACTAAAACATTCGAATCATTGAAGGCTTACTAAAATCAAATAAACTCGGTCAAAACTTTCGATGTCTAAAAACCTGTATTCAAAGCTCAAATTGGTGATCAACTCACAAAAGACTTTCTTGAAATGTCCGCCTTAGGTGTTTTAACCGGGTTTGTGATTCAGTTAAGACCACGAATATTTTCCCTGAGTAATTTTTATGCAGATTTACTAATTGTTCTTTAATATGAAAGCGTAAATTAGATAATTGATTTCAATTTTGCTGTTACAGCCATGCAACATTGTTATTTTTTACTTTTTGAATAAAACGTTAATTAAATATTTAACTGCCGTCCCATTTTGGAACTTGTTAACATATTTTAACATATTTTTGCTTTAGTTCGGAAATAGTTCCTATACATTAAAACTGTGGGTAAAAAACCCTCAAATAATTCATTTCTTAGGTGTGAGTTTAGGTTTTCAAAGGCCCTTAAATTAAAAAAAGGCTATGAATGTTTTGACTTAGCCCTTTTTACGCAATACATTGATTTTGCGATTATAAAACTTTACGAAATTTCACTCAATTATATGGACAAAGAAACATTGCCTTGTCAGTTTTTACGTTATTTCTTCCATATTCAGTCAATTATTACATTCAAACAGAATAAAAACCAATTTTATTGTACTAAGTAAATGTAGAAAGTCCATGAGCATGGTTGTCACATATGCGTGACATCTTTTGCTAAGGTAAATCCAGTTTTATCACTTTTTTTAAATTTTTCAACAATTTGATTAATTGGCCTGTTTAATCCAAAACAGTAGTGCTGAATTATCGAGTTGTAATTACTCAGCAGACAAAATCACCTGAAGTCAGGATTAGATTCATAACTGTTTTTAATTTTCTGACTAAAAATTGTTGATAGCCAATAAAATTTTTTGAATTTGCTAAAGCTGTTTTTACACTCATCATCTAGATGGAAAGTTAATTATAAGTATCATTGAAAATAAATATAATTAAGAGGGTGATTACTTGTTTTTCGTCCCTTTTTTTAAAACTAAATTGACAAAGAACAGATTCTAGACACCTTGGTTAGGCATCAGGGAGCAACTAACGATCAACGTGAAGAAAGTGTGTATTACAAGATATCCTATGTCTTGTTTGTTACATAATTTCCAGATTATCAACCTACACATTTTAGGGCCGCGTTATTTTCTATAAATGACACCTGTTTAGGGGTCAGCAGTTTATATGCTGCCATTAAATGTTACAGATATAGGTGTATTGTGCATATAATATAAGAATATTTGTATTGAGTGCATAGGATAAATGATTCCACCGATAGTCACCAATAAACAATCATTAAAATTACAAGATTTAATCCACTACAAACACTCTGCCCGTGCATTAGCTGTAATCGCTTTGTTTGAGGAATAAAATTTTTAAACAACAAAACCAGGAAATGTACTTTTGAATGGTTTGTAGATATTTGATGGCCCAATGAAATTATAACAACGCGTGCAATTATTTGTTATTCTGGCCAGAATATTTTAAGGTAACGTTGACTAAATACGTAAGTACCAATCGAAAGCCACTGTAATTCCTAAACCGCTTGGAATAATTTTAAGTTACACAACTACACAAAATGATTTAAGGCTTTCAAATGATAATAAAGTATGTGCTATGCTTGAACTGCAGCTGTAGACAGCAAAAATAATGAAAACTACATAGTAAAATTGTTTAACGGAGGAAGTCAATCATATCAGCATATTGGTAAGTACATTAAATGGTTTATTAAATACTGTATTAAGTTTCATTTCTTCACATTAAGCACCTACTTGATTAAACATATTGAACATGATTGATTACTTTAAAAAGTAACCCGAAATTTACTATTGGACTGTGCTACCTTTATAACGATTGGTCATCATCTGCCTCTGATTAACTGCCTATGTTTCTCGCATGCCATTGGAAGGCATCGACAGAGCAATAGCAGAAAATTGGCGCCGTATTCTTTGCAAAAGGAGAATGTGTGAGTTTGGATCTATTCAAATCTATGTGAAGGCACAAGCTATAATGTAAGTTTGTTTATGGTTGTACAGTTTTTAAATTTGGTTTTGTTTCTCATTTTATTTGACTCATTCTTATGCAATGTCTTTTGTCGGGACAAATTCCTAATTTCCAAAGAAGCGAAATTGGATTGTAGAACTAATATATGCACGTAAGGAATGTAATTGGTTTTTTTTATAGGACAATTCTCTTACGTATCCATTTAAGCCAGCAATGACTTAGTTTGTCTGTATATCGTATGTTAGTCATTTTACAAGTCGTCAGAAATTGTGTACCTTTTGGGTAGAGTAAATATCAATGCAAATCCTAATTGACTAGCATAATAGGCCTTGTAGGAAGCGTTTCTATTTTTCATGCTTGCACTTTTGATTCACACGACTTTACTTTGTTTCATTAAGTTTAAACTGAATTCCCTCTTATGAGTTTCCATACCACGGGGTTGAGATTTTATTCTTGCTGATAATGGGATAGTTATGTTTTGGAAAGGTAATCTTATAACCTGCACTTTTCTGTGACGAATTTAAGGGTGTTAATGCGACTGTAAATGAGGTGACAGCCACTAATAACGCGCCCAGTTTAAGCTCAGTGCAAAAT